TACTATTTCAAGTTTTGTTTTGTTTGTTGTTTTTTTTTTGTTGTTGTTTTTTCGGGGGAGGGGTGTGCGTGCGTACCCAAGCCTATTTTATTACTTTTACTTTTTTTATTTACTCTTTCTTTATATTATGATATTGAAGAAACCTGTATACTTTTTTACAATTACGTTTAGTGTTTTCTCTATAATAAACAGACGACAAGTTATTCTAGCCAGACGTATTAAGCATAGGAAAAGTATTTTAATTTGCAGTACTTGGACTAAAAGTTCTAAGCCTTATCAGTTTCTCAACAAATCAATAAGCCTAAAACACGAAAAAAGTAAAGTTAGAAACATTGTAAAATAGCAAATTTTATTAAGATTGCTTTTCAATTATATTTATTTTCTGACATCTATAGCTTTTATTTATTCTAACTATTTGCTCCCCGGTGGCACAGCAATATGTCTGTAGACTTACAACGCTAGAAACCGGGTTTCGATACCCGTAGTGAGCAAGCCCATTGTGTAGCTTTATGCTGAACTACAAACATATATATATATATAAAACTTTTAATGAAAAATCGGTTTTTATCTTTATCAATTCTTTTTTTTTTGAACAATTACAAAATTCATTGTCACGATTGCATTGTTACATTTCTGGCGATTGGAACTCTAAAAAACACGCAAAAAATTGGCACACGCGGATGTCCTCGTATTTGTTACAAATGGACTGAGTTAAGCCTTGGAAATAGCGTCAATATCTGCTTCTATCTGTATCTCATAAGTCATGCCCACCCCCACCCCCCCTTCTCCGGGAGTAACACTTTCCTCTGGTGTTTCCACCATGTGATTTATGATGTCTAGTAGATACACAAGAGTGGCGCCTATGGGACAGGAAAGCCAATTACTAATTTCGTCATACACTTGCAATGACAAGAGGAAATTACGCACGCTAATTAAAAGTCTTCCTTAAGTTGGTTAAACTTCGTGCATTCCTGTCTGCCTTTACCAACGATTTGAGAAGATGTGTAAAGAGATAGGCTGATTAGTCGTCTGTAGACCAGCATAATCAATTGTTCCGGGCGTGGCTCACTGGTTAGTGTGCCCGGACTGTGAATCCGGGGGTTCATGGTTAGCCTCCCGTTGCCGAAAAAAAAAAAAAACGAGCTTAGCACTTGGGGGTCGTGGGTGCCCTATAAGAGTGCGTGGTTAAATCCTATTTTTCAATCAAATATAAGAGTGGCCTAACAGCTGGCGGTATGTGCTGTAGCATGCCTTGTCTCTAGTATATCGCTTCAAAATTACGGTATTCTAAACAAATAATCTGCTGAAGTAAACGGTACTTGAATCTGATTGGCTGTGTATGGGCTTAGACAGAATTACAAGTTGGTATTTCTGTTTGCTTGCTCAAATATAAGTACAACAGTTTTTTCAGGTGTTCTTGTTAAATGAGAAAAGCAGTCGGTTTTGAGTTATTCACAAAGACTTTCTTTACGTTTGTTTAGCCCC